TTGTTTTACACTTTTGTATTTATTAGCTCAAAAGAAAAACAGTACTACAACTTTACCTATTTCTTTTTTTTTAAATTTTTTTCTTGCTTATATAGTAACCAATTAAATAACTTTTTAATGGATTTCTGAAATTATTTATTTTTATATTAAAACAATTCCTGGAATCCAAAAAGACTTTAAATAATTTTTAGTAAAACTTAAGGATTTTACCATTTGCTCTCCTAATTGCTGTTAAAAACAAAAAACGTATTTATGTTTTCCAAAGCTCTTTGCTTTAAGTTAAATTGCCAAACGATAGAGAGGTCGTTAGCATTGCTGTTGACCGAGCGGTTAATAAAATGCCGTGCCGTTCTTTTGGCATATTTTGCGTTCCCCCTGCAGGAAATCAACAACAAATGGCAGGACAAATGTTGACAAAGGAAAGCAACAAATAACAAACAACAGCCAGTGAAGTGGCCCTTGACGAAAATGAGAGCGAGCTAGGGTCGGCGTGTTGAAAGGATGCAGCGGTGCAAACAGCGTGGGAGCGAGGACTAGGCCCAGTTAAGGATTACGTCCTGGAAATGCAGCTGACCACAGGTCGCGGCTAAGGGAAAAGAAGCTGGGTAAAGCGTATTCCCCAGGTTTCCTGGAGCCTTCTCCTCGGGCAAAGCCTCTTGAGAAATAACGCTTAGCTGCTGCTTTCTCCCTTGCCACTGCTGTTGCTTAATATTTTTCTGGCATTTTGCTCGGAGTTTCCCCACTTCATTCCCGAGTTGTTTTTTGCCTTTTTTGTTTTTAGCTGGTAAAGTCTATTATGCTTGCGAAAATTGCTTTACAGCTGCAAAACAATGCGGCAAAAAAGGTTACACAGCACAAAAAGAAATACACACAAAAATGAATAATGACAGCGAACTGGAGGGAATGGTCTAGAGATTACTTTTAACTCCATTTGCTTTTCAGTAATAGTATCGAGAAATGTGAATGCCCTTTCAGAGACTGATTGAAATAAATCAAACCTATTACTGTTCATTGCTTAAATCTATATTTATGCTATTGAAATATTAAAATCTAAGAAAATAAAAATATATATAGAAATCAAATTTTATTAAAAGAAATTAGTAATTTAACTAAAATAAAATATAAAAATAGATACCAGGTGCAAAAAGATTTTATATAATTATTCATTTCTAAATATTAGGAATTATATAATTTATATATATAAATTTCTTAGACTTATAGTTGAACTTGTTTAGGTAGATTGTAGAAAGTTCTGAGACATAATCACCGATCCCCCGAGTAAGGGTATTAAAAGGGAATTTACTATCAAAGTCTCCGAACAGCAGAAGTGAAATAATATTTGCCCCAACCTCGAGGGCGAGGAAATCGGGTGGGGAAGTGCAGCTAAAATAATGTGCGCATAATGAAGCCGGAAGTGTGAATGCAAAGAATACAAGGAAAGTGGAAGAAAGAACTTCATTATCTGCGCCAAGCAGCTCGCCTAGCAAGAAGAAGTGGAAGCTCAGGCTTAGTCGAGGCATTCAAGCAGGGAAAATTACACAAAAATCTTTGCCGGGATTTTCTAATTAAAGTTTCAGCAAACGAAACGCGGCGCCAAAGTGAAATTAATGGCTCTGCCATTTTGGCCAGACCGGGTTTTCCCATTTCTCCCTATTTGCTTGTGTGTGTGTATGGCTTTATGAACTCAACGATGGCAGCATTTTTGGCCACTTAATCTGTTCTCTCACTCGAACTCAGCTTTTCCCCGTCTTCTGCCCCAACGCCTTTGTGTGTGCGTAATTTATTTGCAATCAATGCGGCCCGAAAGGACATTATTTTTACATTAAAGCAAGGGCTAAGAGACTACCCAAAGTTGGCCAAAAAAAATCCGTGCCAAAAACCAACTCGGATACCATTTGGCAGCTGTCACATAATACATCTCATACCACGCAGGCATAAATAATGCGAGAGACTTATGGTCTTATAATATAAACAGATTGCTTTAAGTTGGTTCGAAATTCTTTTTCGATTTTTTTGGGGAATTTTAGGTTGCTCAAAAATATTATATTGTGGTCAGTTTGAATAATATAATTTTACATTGAATAAATATTCAAATAAATAAACAAATAATAAATAAATACTTTAATAAATAAAATGTAGTGCACTTTTCTTATTAAATTATAGTCAATTAAAATACGGTGTTCTTAAAAGATTAAAATACCAGAAAAGAAAAGCTAATTTAAGCTAAATAAAAATTGATCCCAGCTTAACTTTAATTTTTTTGAGATTTGATTTTATTATCAATAAAATCAAATAAAAATTTATTTTATAAGTGTATGCCCAGAGAAGTCATTTTCTCTGCAGTGCTTGGCTAAACTATTTGTGGGAATCATCTGTGACATGTGAGAACTCACATTTGTGTGTTGTCATATCGCACGTTAATGTGAGTTTCATTAGGCTGAACGTTCCCCCGCCCCCGGCGCATCATGCCCCCTCCCTTGCCTTCGGCCATTGCTCCGAACTGTGTCTGTATGTGTGTGTGTGTGTGCTTGTGTCAGAAAGAACTGACAAACTCCATGGAAAGTTTCTCGAACCCCGGGCACGTATCGTATGTCATAAGCAGGGAAAACGGCTTTCGGGAGCGGCGACTGCAGCGGACACTGCAGTTGTGCAGTTGGAAATAAAATTATTAACCCCGCTGCAATGCAACATAAATAGGATTAGTGTCTGCAGCAACTGCACAACTGCACAAGGAGAACAAACACGACTTGGACGGCGAAGGAGACGCCGGAGAAAGGCCACAACAAAGGCAGCCAGCAGCATTTGCATTTGCATGTTGCATACTTCACGGCGTAGTGCTCACATATGATAAACGGCAACGACAATGCCACAACCACAGACCCACACACACACATACACACACACTTACTCGGATCTGTGTCTGCGGGTATTTCCCTTTTTCAGTATCTGCTTCGTACTCGTTTTGCCTTTGTTTTGGCCGGGCAAAAATGCAGCTGAGTATTTTTAGCTACATGGAAAAACTTCATTTCATTTCTGCGGCTGTCGTCCAGTGTATTGACCCCTAAACTCCCTCCCAGACACACACGAACACATACATGTATTAGTGACAAAGCCATTCCATTTTACTTATGCCCCCTCCCATTTCGACACCATCGCGGTTTTTGCAAGCATTTTGTTTGCTTTGTGGCTTCCGGCTTCTGTTACTGTTACTGTTACTCATTCTCCTTCGGTTCGAAATCCGGCTTTAACAATGCAGAAACGTATACAAAAGTCAACTGCCCTGAGCTCGATTGAGTATTTACCCAATCGTACGGCTTAATTTAAATATGAATGCAGCATTAATTCATAATTATGTCGTCAATCGATCGAGTTGCCCGCCAGGTATTTGCAACAGCGCCACTTGAAATCGAATATGGGATTGCAGCGAAATTTTTCTGTGTGAAATCTGAGAAAATCGGATCGTAAAAAAATATTTTTTTTCTCCATTGCAGAGAAATGCAATTCGAATTTTTTCCGGTTGCCCTTAATTAAAGAATTTGACTGGAGCAAATTTAATTTGTTTTTTTTTTAAAGAGCTGGCTGCTTACCCATTTTAATTTTTAATGAATACTTATAATTATTAAACAGTATTGATTTATCAATGAACCATAAAATAATATATGTTTTTATAACATTTTTTTTAAAGTTATTACTAACAAAATTTAACTGAATTTCGACAGAATATTTTTCTGAGACAACCCCTTATACATAAAAATAAAAATTAATCATGGAATACAGAATATAGAAAATTATATTGATTAAAATTGGTTTTTATATTAAAATGATATTTTTTACTTTCATTAGCTCTACGCTTCCCTAAAAGTTATTATTGTAAACGCTACATATTTGTAAATACTTCGTAAAATACTTACCTTTTTGACACAACATTTTTAACTTTGTTTTGATCTTAAGTAACACTACACAAGACGATGCAGCAGGTGCCACGCGAAAGAGCGACCGAGATAGGAACACGCCAACAATGCGGTTTGGGCTTGAAAAATTAACGCGAAAATGCCAAAATGTTGTGCATACGCCCCGTTGCTTGCATGCAAATTTCATATATTAAGCAAGGCAGGGGTCGATGTCGTGTAGAGGGAATGAAAAGGAGGAACTTGTTGTGTTTAGCTTGCATGGTCGTCGGCCATAATTGCAACATGCCACACAAACACACACACACACACGCAACGCAGTGGGCGACTTGGGACCTCAGCCAAGTCAAACAAACCGCGGGGCACAACCAAAAAAAACTGCGAAAAAAAGCAGAACACGAAGGAATGCCAAATTTCTATTTGTGCTCTAGTGTGGCGAGTGCAGAGGAGGGAACTTCTATGGCTGTGTGCAACTCCAGGCAGGGTGTTGTTATGACTTAATGTGGCCAACGCGAGTGGCTGTTCTGAGGGAACCACTGAAAGAAAAGCTCTTCGTCAACACTAATAAGAAAAAAATTAGAAAACATGTCTTATTTTATTTTTCTCAAAAATAAAGAAACCAAATAAGGACCTTTTAAGAAAAAGCTTTATTTATTGCCAACGATAACAAATTTAGAAACTTATGTTATTAAAAACGTTTTTCTAATATTTTCATTATTTAATTCAAAAATAGTATATCATTATCATATACCATTTTTTCACAATAGAAAATGTACTCAATTTTTGAAAACAACCAAATGATTTTTAACATATATTCAAACCTTTTTGGGAGAACAATATTTTCTCCAAATAAAAATGTTTAAGTCTGTGAAAACTACAATTTTTATGACCAAATCACAAACTTATCATTTAAGTGGCCATATTTTTGCTGGAGGCATTCGTATACTAAACACTTACATTATATTTTCCAATTTCTTTCGATGCACAAAATAGAAAATGAAAAGACCCTTCATACAGCCCATTAAACTGTCCGCAGTTCCGAGTTTACGACAGCCGCACTAACTATTTCCCCCATTTTCCGACTCTTTGCAGGCCTGAGGCGGCACTTCGGCGGGATCCTCATCCGGAATCATTCCAGTTCGAGTATGCGATGGCAGCGGGAAGAGCCGCCGCGACGCTGGAGGCTCCGGGTGCGGGACCGCCCAGTGGTCAGGACATAGCCAGCGACAACAGTGCCCAGCGCCGCACGCTGGCGACGAAGGTGCGTCGAAAAGGGCCACGCCCCCAGCGGCGCCTGCACCCGCCCCTGCGCCCCCGCCTGCCGCTGCTCCACTTCCACCTGCTGTGGCTGCTGTGCTGCTGCTGCCAACTGGGCCAGCTGATGGCCGACTGCCCGGCGGTGTGCGAGTGCAAGTGGAAGAGCGGCAAGGAGTCCGTCTTGTGCCTTAACGCCAACCTCACCCACATCCCGAAGCCCCTGGACGCAAGCACCCAGCTGCTGGACCTGAGCGGCAATGATATCCCGTCGATCCTGGACGACAGCTTCGCCTCGGCCAAGTTGCTCAACCTGCAGAAGGTGTACCTGGCCCGTTGTCACCTGCGACTGATCGAGCAGCATGCATTCCGCAAGCTGATCAACCTGGTGGAGCTGGACCTGAGCCAGAATCAACTCTCGGAAATACCCTCGTTGGCCCTGTACCACGTCTCGGAGCTGAGGGAACTCCGGCTGAGCGGCAATCCCATACTGAGAGTGCCGGACGATGCCTTCGGCCATGTGCCGCAGCTGGTCAAGTTGGAGTTGAGCGACTGCCGGCTGTCGCACATCGCGGTGCGGGCCTTTGCCGGGCTGGAGAGCAGTCTGGAGTGGCTGAAGCTGGATGGGAATCGGTTGAGCGAGGTCAGGAGCGGCACCATCACCTCGCTGGCCTCGCTGCACGGCCTGGAGTTGGCCCGTAATGAGTGGAACTGCAGCTGCTCCTTGAGACCCCTGAGAGCCTGGATGCTGCAGCAGAATATTCCCAGTGGCATACCCCCAACCTGCGAGTCTCCGCCCAGATTGTCCGGCCGAGCCTGGGATAAGCTCGATGTGGATGACTTCGCCTGCGTGCCACAAATTGTGGCCACGGACACAACGGCCCACGGAGTGGAGGGCCGCAACATCACCATGAGCTGCTATGTGGAGGGAGTGCCACAGCCGGCGGTTAAGTGGCTGCTCAAGAATCGCCTGATAGCCAATCTCAGTGCTGGCGGGGATGGGGACTCCGATTCGGAGCCGAGGACAGCAGCAGCCACGCAGGGCCGGAAGACCTATGTGGTCAATATGCTGAGGAATGCCTCGAACCTGACCATTCTCACGGCGGACATGCAGGATGCAGGGATCTATACGTGTGCAGCGGAAAACAAGGCCGGCAAGGTGGAGGCCAGTGTGACTCTGGCTGTGTCCCGAAGGCCACCGGAAGCTCCGTGGGGCGTGAGGATTATCCTGCTGGGCGTTATAGCCGCCCTGCTCTTGGTGGGTGGATCCTCCTTTGCGGCCATCTGTTTGTGTTCCCTGCAAAGGCGAAGAAAGCTGCGACTCTGGAACTCGGTGCCGCCGGTGAGGCGAAGTGAGAGCTACGAGAAGATCGAGATGACGGCCAGGACGAGACCGGATCTAGGGGGCGGGGCCAGCTGCGGAGGCGGCAGTGCCACTGGCGCAGGACTCTTTCACGACGCCGAGGAGCATGGCTATCTGCGGGCAGCCCACACCCCGCTGAACGACAATGATGCGGGTCAGGCGGCGGCCATTGTGAATCCGAGTGCGGGAAGTGCCCAGCGGAGGAACGGGGACTACCTGCACGTGTCCACCCACTGCGACGATGAGGAGGAGGAGCAGCAGCAGCTGCACCACCACCACCCACAGCAGCAGCAGCCGCAGGCTACCAGCCAGCACCACCCACATCCCAATCAGCAGCAGCCGAGGAAGAGCTCCCAGGGCCATGTTGTCTCCGCATCCGGCACGAATAATTCAGCGCTGCTGGAGGAAACGGATCTGCACATACCGCGCCTCATCGACATCGGCGGGTGAGTTGACCTACACGGGCAGGAAAAACCACAGAAAAGAATAGAAAATATTTTATATTAATTGCAGCAATACTGCAGTTTTTACTTTTATAATAAAATTCCTTTTCATATGTTTCATTTTTTTTTGTATTACATAAAATAATTAATTTTTAATGCACATTTAAAATGTATTATATGCATACTTAGAAATATTTTATTTATTTCTTCATATATAATTTAAGAACATTAAAAATTAATTTGGTTATTTGAAAAACCTTTACATATACATATATATTAAGGGCTTACTTATAGTAAAATATGTATGAGTGGTGTTACAGAAATCGCTTTTAATGTGAAACCACTTTTAAAGGTGTCTAAAAGTATGCAACAAAATACTTAAATTCTTGGATTCGACCACGTTCTGTTTTCAATGCATACTCTTAAAAAGCTTTTAAAATAAATTTTATCCCCCCGTTTCGTTTAAAGCCTTTCTTTTGCCAAGTGTACACCTCGGGCGCCCTTTGTTTCTGCGGTTCTCGTTACTTCGAGTGGCAATTGTCCCCCGACCGGGCGTCCGTGTTCCTGTCAAAGAGCTGTCATGCTCGAGTGCGGAACGCGCCCGGATCTCCGTATTGCGTCCGTATTATGGGCAACACTTGACACTTCCACTTTAAGCTCGAGCCCCACTGCCCACCCACCTCCTCCACCTTCTCCACCTCCACCTCCTCCTCCGCCTTCGCATAAGCGAACGCGCGTGCTAATGACGCGCGAAATATGCGAGCACATCCACATCCAACATCCAGCCGCCACATGCAACCTCCATTCTCCATCCTCTGTCCTCCAAGACCACATCCACATCAACATCCACATCCACGAGAAGTGCTTTATTTCGGGCACACTGAGAACTCACTCTGCCTGATTGGCGCTTGTCACGTGAAAGGAATCCTACCGCGTATGTGAGTACTAGTGCGGGTTAATGGATGTGGGGCCGGCTATCTTCATGGACGAGGACACTGCCAAATAACGAGAATCTGAAAAGTCAAGCACTCAACGAATATGGAAGGGGTGTTGAAACAAAGGAAAGGGGCTTTTATTTATAAGGGACACTGACAAGGGAGCATTACGTAATGGAGAGTACCTTTTTGTCCAAGCCAACAATTTATATTACGATTTTACACATTATTTTTGAGCTTTTATTAACTTATCAATTATTTGTAAAACTGATAAAAAGTTACATTTATTTTTGCTATTTTAAATAATTAAAATTTAAACAAACCAGTTACTAAAAGGGTTGATTTAAAAAAAAATCTTACATTTGTTGAATTATTTAAAGGAGATTTACTCATGGAAAAGCCTCCTTTTGCAATATTAACAATTTTTATTTATTTACCTTTTTTTTATTTATTTATTGTAAAGCGCATTTAATATACCATTTGAATGTACGAGTGAGGGGTATAATTATGCTTTATTTTTAATTTTCAAAGACTTTTTTTGTAAGGTGCATATGTTTGTAACGCCTTTTATATACAATCATAGACACAAACGTAATGGTAATTATATTAATTTATTTTCCCCTTCAGCACCGATTCCGCATCGAGTTCGATATCCAGCCAGGTGGATGCCGCTGCCCGCTTGGGCGGCTATGCCGGACACACCTGGAAGACCACGCCCATTGCCACCACCAAGATCAACTCGCCGCACAGCAAACCGGCTACGTCGGCGGCACCATCGTCCCTGAATCCCCCGGGCACGGCTACGGCCACGCCCTACGCCCACTATGGCAACCATCCGCCCGACGAGATGGCCACCTCGGTGTTCTGCAGCGAGGGGCAGGAGAGCGACCTGTTCGACAGCAACTACCCGGATCTGCTGGACATAGCCAAGTATGCGGTGGCCCAGGCGCAGCAGGAGAGTCGGGGGCAGGGCTACGGGCCGGCCACGCCCACTCCGAACGGGGGGCTGTGCACGCTGCCCCGAAAACTGAAGACCAGCGGAAAGTACTTCCGCAACTCGTCGGACAGTCAATCGCCCCTGCTGGCGGATAACTCCAGTAAATACGGCAGCAGCACCCTGGGCGATGGAAGTTTCCTCAACGAGGCCATGGGTCTGGGCAGGCGGTATTCGGCGGAGTCCAGTTATGCGAACTATTCGAGCACGGCCACCTACACGGGCGGTGGCCAGCGGGCGAATAGTTTCCTCAACTTGGTGCAAAGTGGCGCCCACAAGGGTAACCTGCTGCAGGGTCATTTGGGGCAGAAGCCCAGCCTGCCCTCGAGTCCGGTGCAGCATCAGCGATCGTTGTCGAGTGCGGCCACGCCCCTTTTGGACTTTTCCGCCCTGGCATCAAGGGCTGCCGGAGCGGCCAATTCCTCGGTGGCCGCCTACGATTATCATGCCGCTCAGTTGGAGCGATTCCTCGAGGAGTACCGCAACCTGCAGGATCAGCTGTGTAAGATGAAGGAGACCTGCGACACGATCCGGAAGAAGGAGACGCCACTGCGAGTGGCCATTGGCCAGTCGGCTGCCCAGCTGGCGGACCCCGTGATGTACAGTGCAGCCTCGCACAGCCCGAAACCGCCGGCGGCCAGCAATCTGAAGACGAAGACCCTGCTGCCGGGACAACCGCCGGATCCACCGCCCTACTGGCTGCACCGCAACGCCATGCTGAAGCGGTTGAACGGGGATGGCAGCGTTGGATCAAATGGATCTGGTGGATCTCCCGCCTCGCCGCAGCCCGGCCAGGATATTTTCAAGAGCTAATCGCAATCGTGTACAGCCGGAGGATTAGATGATGGGGCAGGAGGAAAATCGAGAGCCTTCGGTTCGCCGAAGATGGCATGAGCTTGCAGGAATAAAGAAATTCAATAATAAAACATGAGAAGGGTACAAATTACAAAAGGAATAACATTTTACATTTTTTATATTGTTTCTCAATGCAATGAATTGTTTTTTTATTTTTTTCAAATTGTATTTTAAGTGTCTTAAAATTACTTTTGGATTTTTGATTAACATGAAAAAGATAAAAGATAGACATTTTCTTAATAAATGGCTTTTACTTCTATAGCAAAAAAATTTTATTTTTTTTGTTGGACAAAATATTATAGAGAAGTATATCATTTTAAAGCTATATTATTTTTGAGCTATTTTTAAATTTTGATAGATTTTGTTTCTATTTTTAATTAGTTTATTTAGAATGAGAAATTTAGTAATGTGATTTTGAACAAACAACATTTAAAAAATGTGACTTACTGATAAAAAGAAAATTAAACTTACTCCTAAAGAAAATTAAACCCAAGATTTCCATTATAAAATATTTCAACAAAGTCCAGTGACTTAGTAAACCATGCAAGCTCCTGCCCATCGATCTAAATGCATTTGTCTGGATAGTTAGTTAGGCCTAGGTAGCTGGAGGACATACAACTGGTTCGATATCCAGCCCCTCTGTTGTATTATAGAAACACTTTTCCACTCTTTATACTCGCTACTACGCAATATTAAACACGATCCAAAAAAAAAAGGACGACAAACAACATAAGATATTGTAAGTGTATAGACAGAAGTCCCTTAGAAATGAAAAAACACTATCTCGAACACACCTATCGGAACCTAATCCTAGAACCCCCAAAAAAAAGCTCTCGTGTTAGTCTAACTACAAGTGTTTTGTACTTTAAGCGATCTCAATATAAACAAGGATAATATAGATGACTTAAATATCATAAGTATGAGTTGGCACAGACTGCAGATCAATAGATTGACGTATTGTTTGATTGTTAGATGTTTGTTTTTCTGTACCGCAGTTCAGGTCACAAATTGTAAGCCAATTAGATCCAAACTCTAAATTGTAATTTAAAACGATACAAAAAACCAAACACGTATTTTAGGGTGTCACTAAACTAAAACTCGAAAGCATTTCACCCAACCAACAAGAGAAAGCAAAAATAAATTAGTTGAGAATTGAAAGAAAAACAAAGAGAAGCACTGCGAGTTTTACTGGATCGAATGGGTTAATCGAGGGGCGTGCAAATGTCCACATCCGGGGTTAAAGGGCAAGTAATTGTCGCTTGTCGTGCCACATTCGCTTTTCGCGGGGGCGTTGGTCAAGATTAAACAATAATTTCGGACCAAAAAATAGGTGGATGTGGGCGTGGCAGGGACTTGGCCACATAGCGAAACTACGCCAATTGGTTCGGCGCACATTTCTTTTATTTTCGCTTCGCATTCCGGCTGCCAAATGAAGTTGTAAAATGCAAATGAAGCCGTCGCCGTAGTCACATGCGCGTTAAAGTTCATGTTCGATGTGATGTCGCCATAAAGCAGGATTAAAACGAATTTATGAACCTTTGGCACGACGACAACGACGACATGATAGCCGTTTTATACCACTCCCCACACCATATCCTTCGCACTCAAGCGAACACACACACAATGTCGCACAGGGGAGAGGACGACTTTGTCTTTGGGCCGCAGGCATTTGAATGAAAAACGTTGCCTACTTTTCCGGGATACATTGTGTAAAATGGAAATCGCCCTGGCAATCCCGAATCTGGGCCAATCCTCCTGTGGTCTCGGTCATCAATGGCTCATTTGGGCCTTGTGCTCATAAGCTCATAAATATTTAAGGCCCGTCTTAAATGTGCGTAAGTTGTAAATATTTTAATGAGAAATACGAGTCAAGAGTTTACATAAATAAAAATGCCATTTACAATATCAGCCACTTTGGGAATATTTATACCCTTGCAGAGGGTATTATAATTTTGGTCAAAAGTGTGCAACGCAGTGAAGGAGACATCTCCGACCCTATAAAGTATATATATTCTTGATCAGGATCACCTCCTGAGTTGATATAGCCATGTCCGTCTGTCCGTCTGTCCGTCTGTCTGTCCGTCTGTCCGTCTGTCCGTCTGTCTGTTTCTACGCAAACTAGTCTCTCAGTTTTAAAGCTATCGAATTGAAACTTTGCACACACCCTTCTTTCCTTTGCACGCAGTATATAAGTCGGAACGGCCGGGATCGGCCGACTATATCCTATAGCTGCCATATAACTGAACGATCGGAAATGCCATAACTTTGGTGTTTTTAAAGTTAGGAAGTTGGGATTTTCTATGGGTTTTACATTTGGCCAATCAATTTGACGTACCAAATTTTATAAGGATCGGCCGACTATATAGTATAGCTGCCATATAACTGAACGATCGGAAATGCCACAACTTTGGTGTTTGTAAAGTTAGGAAGTTGGGATTTTCTATGGGTTTTATTTTTGGCCAATCAATCCGACCTACCAAACTTCATAAGGATCGACCGACTATATCCTATAGCTGCCATATAACTGATTGATCGGAAATGCCATAACTTTGGTGTTTTTAAAGTTACGAAGTTGGGATTTTTTATGAGTATTAAGAATGCATCATATGAATAATTTTGGAAAATATAATTTACAGAGTATTCTGCAAGGGTATATCAACTTCGGCTCCGCCCGAAGTTAGCTTTCCTTTCTTGTTTTATACAATTTTGGTTCGTGCCTGCTTTTTATACCCTTGCAGAGGGTATTATAATTTTGGTCAAAAGTGTGCAACGCAGTGAAGGAGACATCTCCGACCCTATAAAGTATATATATTCTTGATCAGGATCACCTCCTGAGTTGATATAGCCATGTCCGTCTGTCCGTCTGTCCGTCTGTCCGTCTGTCTGTCCGTCTGTCTGTTTCTACGCGAACTAGTCTCTCAGTTTTAAAGATATCGAATTGAAACTTTGCACACACCCTTCTTTCCTTTGCACGCAGTATATAAGTCGGAACGGCCGGGATCGGCCGACTATATCCTATAGCTGCCATATAACTGAACGATCGGAAATGCCATAACTTTGGTGTTTGTAAAGTTAGGAAGTTGGGATTTTCTATGGGTTTTGTATTTGGCTAATCAATCCGACATGCCGAATTTCATAAGGATCGGCCGACTATATCCTATAGCTTCCATATAACTGATTGATCGGAAATGCCATAACTTTGGTGTTTGTAAAGTTAGAATGTTGGGATTTTCTATGGGTTTTATATTTGGCTAATCAATCCGACATGCCGAATTTCATAAGGATCGGCCGACTATATCCTATAGCTGCCATATAACTGATTGATCGGAAATGCCATAACTTTGGTGTTTGTAAAGTTAGGAAGTCGGCATTTTCTATGGGTGTTATATTTGGCCAGCCAATCCGACCTACCAAATTTCATAAGGATCGGCCGATTATATCCTATAGCTGCCATATAACTGAACGATTGGAAATGTCATAACTTTGGTGTTTTTAAAGTTAGGAAGTTGGGATTTTTTATGAGTATTAAGAATGCATCATATGAATAATTTTGGAGAATATAATTTACAGAGTATTCTGCAAGGGTATATCAACTTCGGCTCCGCCCGAAGTTAGCTTTCCTTTCTTGTTATAATAATGTTTATTTTATATATATATAAATATTGCTTTTAATAAGATATTTTTATTAAACGAATGAAAATTATTATATATGCAAATAATAAAAAAAGTAAAGTTGCTTTTATACCTTTATTATATACCTTGATAAGGCAAACATTTTATCAGCTAATTTCCTTCTGTGATCTGAATTTCGTTCCGTTCGCCTTGATTTATACGTGAATAACATGTAATTAAGCTATGACCGGCTGATAAAACTCCCGGCTGGCTTATGAATTTCAAGCACGCAGACGTGTCAGAAGGCAAAAGTAACCGAAAATGGTTGGCCATTTAAGCGAGCTCCATCTGCCGCAGGGCGAGTTGGTTAGTTGAAGTTACTTACTGTGGACCGGGCCCAGATCCATGCCCAGCTCTTTGTGGTTTGTCGGCTTTAAAGAGCGAAGCCATTTACATTCCCCCTTTTTTGGGCCACCCACCTGACCGCCTGCTGTCCGGCTAAAGCGAAAATAATGAGCCTGATGTGGGATCTCGGCGTGAAGCAGAGTAAAGAGCAACAACGTCGAGAGCAGTCGAGTTCATGTCAAGCTGTCAGTCAAGGTCGATTTCGTTTTACCACCCCCCCTCCCTTGCCCCCTTTATCCTGCCCTGCACCTGTCAGTGGCAGAAAGGACGAGAAGGTAGGCGGGAGCGGGAATGGAAGTGGGTGGAAGGTCGGCAAGTGCCCTTTTGTCACTGTCTTGCGGCTGCCAGTGCAATTTTTATATATGGCCAGCGCAAGGTATTAGGGGTATATAAGTTACTTCGTGGTTTTGTATGTGGTACAAGGAACGTGGACTACTTTTTAAACTTTACACTCTGTGAATAAAATTAACTACCTATCAATATTTTATAGCCATCCAAAATTATAATAGTTTTTGATTTAAAAATATTGAACTGAAAAATTTATAAACTTTTTAAATTGAATCACTTGTTTTATCTAAAGTTAAGCTTTTATACCTTTAATTAAATAACTATTTAACTACAATAAATTGTCAAAAAAAAAATTGTCAATATAAAATATAACTTATAAATATCTGTTAGGTCTTGTTAAATTTACGGCTAAAAAGTTTTTGATATGTGTAAATCTAGCGTAAGGTTTCTTTTTCCTGTGAGTTTTTTAGCGACGCGATGAAGCACTTTTAAGCTGAGTACCAACTAGTTGACTCCTCGGGCTGATAAAATGATGAGCGGAGCTTACGGAGCGATGTGTGTTATGTATATGTGCCCAGGGAATTTTTTCATCATTATCAGTGTCCTTGTAGCCGCTTCCACATGCCACTTAATGCCAACGCACCAGCAGAGGCAGCACTCGTCCCACTTTTGCATGTCGTCGTCGTCATCTTGGCGGCCTTTGTGGTGGCATCACACAACTGCATACCGCCCACAAGCCACCGCCCGCCAACCCTCCCCCCGTCCATCCTACCACCCCCAAATGCCATTCTTCAAGCCTCCCACAACGGCCATTATATTCAAGCATTTTCGAGGCATAAGTTGGCACTTTAGCGCCAGGCAGCTGCTACCTGTTTCATTTTCAGTTTTTCAGGAGCTCTCTCGTATTTTTTTGCGGCTGCTTTGTTTATTTTTAGCCAGCATCAATTGTAGCCAATTTTTCAGAAGGGAAAGAAACAATTCCTAAAATGATCGCAGTAAGGACATCGATTGGTCCTGGAACGAGATCTAAACTTTCTGCGGCAGGCAGCACATTCAACCCCAAAATGCCAATTGATGGCCTTGAGACGGAGATGAATATTTCTTACTACACGAAAAGAAAAATTGAGACCTATTGAATAAATGTTTCCAACTAAAAAACACAGAATGTTGTTCAGAGAAAATGTATGCAAATAAAATTCTGCAGAAAACTTTTGAGTAAATATAAATAGTTAAAAATATTTAACTTACAAATTTTTGAATCAATGAATTCAAAACTTAGCAATATACAAAATTATAATTTATTAAAAAAAAATTTTTCTTTTAGTATTATTGTGGCCTGTTACCATTTCTTGCCTGGCGTTTATTTTTCAATTGGACGTATTGGCAATCGATATAGTAGGAAGGAGCAGAAACAGGATGCTGCCGCCTGCTTAATGTGCTGCTGCCTGTTCCGTTTCCCCATCCCAATACCCCCCTCCCCTGGATGCCGCTCCTGTCGCCCTTTTTAATGGATGTTGCATTACTTTCCGAGGCAGCTGTACGAACAAAAAACTTTTCCAATGGCGAAAATTGAAAAATAGTTTCGCCCCAGCTTGCAAACGAAACACAAGCGAGCTTGGTAAAAGTTGCTTCCGAAAAGTTAATGGCAATTGCATTTATTGATTAGCTCGGCAAGAGCTGGATATATCAAGTTTACCCTTGAATGCCACTTGGATTTAATTTTCCTGTTTGGCTAAGCGAGCAGATATTGTCCCCTCGACCGCAAGTTCAACAAGTCAACGCATCAATGTCAAATAATCTGCTGCAGGAAAAATAA